ATGATCACCGAGGATGTCTATGATTAGCACCGATACCACAGCTACACGTATTATTTTCCATGGTATGATCAAGCGCCGAAACCTGGCTGCTGACAAAAGTCTTTGGCAATCCGCGGCGCGTGCATGTAATAGATATCACCGGGGGATGACGATATACAAATGATTAGCGCAGACACACAGCTGCGCGCATCCGTGACATGAGTCATGAGGTCAAGCGCCTAAACCTGGCTGCTGACAAAGTCTGTCTTATCTAGGCACGTGATACCAGAAAGTTCCACGTTTAAACTCGCGTCTACTGCATCTGCATGTAATAGATATCACCGAAGATGCCTTTGATTAGCGCCGATACCACAGCTGCGCGTATTCTTATTTCCATGTTATGAGTCACGGGGTCAAGCGCCGAAACCTGGCTGCTGACAGCGACTTTTTATAGTATATAAACGGTCCGGAAGCCCGCTGTACCACAGTAGGAGATTTTATACGAGATCGAGAACTAAGAATACGTTGGGACTCACGAACGCATCGTTAGACAAGAAGTTCGTATTTATCATCCAGTTTCTTCGTGTCCTGATAGGCCTTAAGATTTCCTTAGAAGAATGAATCAGTACGTTCCTCTGAGTATATCGTGCAAGAAACAGTGTAACGTGTAAGTACCATAGAGCTATCATATATTGCATACATTTTTCCACATTTAATTGTATTTTTTTCAAACTGTTTTAGCAATCGTCGTTACACGCCGTATGTTCCTCAAAGTAGTTATACGCCATCCATTCCTCAAAGTTATACACCATCCGTTTCTCGAGATAAAACTGTTTCGTGCAAGAAACAACATGATGCGTAAGTACCATGAAATTATCGTATCTTCGTTCATACTTTTCATCATTTGATTGTAATTATTTTTATTTTATGTATTCTTTCAGTTCCGATAAACCTTGCTACACGCCTCGTATCATGAGCAGGAGATTCGCCCTGACATCCACTGCATACAAATACTTGAATGTTGGAATCTGCGTGGTATCTGGTGCATCCTATGTGGAAATCATTCTCGGCGACAATCGCGGAAATCGGATGGCGTTAGATTATTCAATATGGACGGAATTGAACAAGAAACGCACAGAAATTGAGCAGCTCTTGAAAACAGCAGATGCATCATCGCCATCATCATCGATGCATATTAACGATTTAGTTTTAGAACTCGTCACAATGTACGACGGAAAAATTGTAAAGCTAACATTTAACAATACTTGCATGTATATGAAAGTACCAACTGTATTATTTTTATTCCAGCTCGAACATTGTGTCGAGCACGTATATCGCAAACTGTGTGACATGTTAGGCGAAATAGATCAAAGCTTCGATCAACTTGTGAGCTGCTTACGTGGCAATTTGATCGGTGTCGAAAAAGACGATGCAGTTAGAATGCTGCACAACTGGTATGACAAATCTTCGGCCATAGATTGTGAACTAATAGCATATGTCGTAGATGAAATTATTGCTGAGGCTTTTAAACGAGATGAGAACGATAAATTTATAATTGAAAATAAAAATTTATTGTTTGACTAACATTTTTCTTTTACTTCCAATCCATTCTATCTTCCCTTCCCAAGTAGTTAATAATAAGAAGAAGAGCGACAACATAGGGCTATATGCGAGGAATAGGATACGAACGGGGAGAGAAGGAAATACGAGCGGAGAAAAAATAGACATCGTTTCAATATATAATATATATTTATTTTGCTTACAGCAATTGAATACACTTCTTAACACATGTTGTTACATATTTTTATGGTTAGACCACCACTTGTAAAGTTTAAAAACATTTTGTAAAGCGCAATTTGTTACATGTTTCTGACAGTGAGAAGTATGTGTAACATCCAATTTATTTAGAGATGGTATGTCCTCGTAGTCCACATCAATAGTTTCAATATAGACATGTCCTCTCGCGTCATCCAAGAGCATATCCTTCAGCCATTCTCGTTTATCGTGTCCCTTGACGTAGACGAGAAACGGTGTCTCAAGATCGTCATCATCTTCCATGCCGACCACAGCCGTTGTAATCAGACTTCTAGCCCTGCTGTATGGAATCATTCCGTCTTCCCATCGTACTCCATGACGATTTGCAATCAACCAGGATGCCTGATGTTGCTCCGCTTTGGTGAGAAGCCTCCATGGTACGGGACATGTGAAAATGT